TCGGTAGACGGCAGCCATTACAGACAAACATGTGTTTGTTGTTCGAGGAGCGGCTCAGTCACACGCTAATGGCATTAATTTGTTATCATTACTAAGGTACAGGACTGCTTTCCCCCCCTTTTCACATCATATCTCCTGCCTGGATCTGTTATTATCTCACTCTGAAGAACGGAGGAGTGTCAGAGGTGAGCTCGTTTCAACCGGTTTTTACGACAAGGTCTCATTTCCGGACTCAGGCATTTTGTGAACGAAGCCGATATTTCAGTTAAAATACATAAGTAAAAATATTTATCCGAGTATAGTACTACCCCCCAACTTTATGGATGATTTTATGGATTAAATTTTATGTATTATACTTGAATAAATATGGTAATTGTTCCTGTTGCTGGCCAGACAATTTAACCAATTATTCTTAAATGAAAACCTGAATCCAATCAAACAGGCGCAAAGCAGAAATGCAAGAATCTATTTTATAAAGTGATTTCTGATAAAGGCAATTTTCTTTGCTTATATAGCAAAATATGCTATAAAACTTGGGCTTCAGCCAAGACAGACTCTACCAGTGACCTAACAGCTCACCACCAGCCATCGAAATCACCGTCTTTTCACAGTCCTTTAGATTTTCTCTCACTGCTCGTCTCTTTTTTTTTCTACTCAGTGTCAAAGTAAGTCTTCAAAGCACAATGAGAGTTTTCACAAGGTTAAGCCTTGTGGGTGCACTTCTCCTTGACTGTGCAAACACATCACAAAGAGTGTGATGCAGACAAAACAAGAGCAGCTGAAATGAAACGGATGTTCAACCTTGGCATATGCTAAATCACAAGAGTTGTAAGAAAAAAAAAAGACCATGCCATGGCTCTGCAGAATGTGTGTCATTTTTAAAAACACACACTCAAGGGCGGCTAAGCTGCAAAAATCAAGGCACAAACTGCAGGGGGGTTGAAAATCAAAGCTGTTACCTTTATAATAATTTCTGTTGYGCATTCATAATTATACAGCCACACACTAAGTTTACAGAATTATTTTCTCGTCTTTCTTTTTTTGTATTTAAATAACATTAATGCAAATCAAACAGAGTTAAAGATGCAACGCTGTTGAGAAAGAGATTCCCTCCTGCATAAAAAGATGACATTTTCAGGAGTGATATAACAAGTCTGTGGGGTTTTTTTTTGTTCTCCTTACACAAAATAAATTTGACCTTTGCACAAACACGGTTCAAATTCTCCCGCACACTCCTCTGCACCTCTGCAGCCCAGGAGGCACGCTAAAGAAACGATTTCCTGTCAAACACTGATCAGATTTCATTCCAAACAGAAATAATCTGAAGGCCCTGCATTAACATTTTGACTTCTCTTGTTTTACACTTCTTATATCCATTTCCAAACAAAACGTACAAAGCGCACCTCTTTTTGTTTTTGCCCTTAAATTGAAAGCTCCGAGGTAATTTAAAAAGCTTTGTTAGGATGAGTGGCTCGACATGACACCTTCTGACTGGCAGTGCTGTTTCTGTTACTATCAAATTAAGAGTGCTACAAGTGTTGAAGAGAGGCTTTTAAATGTGCCGTTTTTGTCTTCAAACACAATGAACCCCACCTACACAACATGTAGGAAAAACACTGAAACATTTTGATGCTTCTTCTTTCACGTATTCCAATAAAACTTCAGTTTAAATATTTTTAGCCTCTTTTTTAGCATCTGACCTGTTTGTTCGAACAAACTATGTACCTACAGCGTAAGGCAAGCTAAATGTAAGGCTTTTTAAGACCTCTTTAATGCCACTTGAAATGAAAGACCAACTTCACAATTAACACAAATCAATTAAAAAAAATAAAACTACAGCGACAATTTTATCCAAATGTTTATTTTAACACAAAACAGCTAGCTGCAAAAAGGCATTCGGTAAATTATTTAAAAAAATTAAATAAAAATAAATGTTACCAATCATTTTAAAATTTGAGACTAATTACAATCATACAAGGTGTTAAGATTTTTAAGACACCTGAAAGTTTGATTTAAGACATTTTAAGGCTAGTTAAAGCCTTATTTTTTGGATTTTTTTTAATATAACCCCCCCACCCAACACTTACTCATACAAAGCTCCGCCTATTTATCCAAAGCTCCTCCCTGGAGCTCAGTCCCCAGCTGAGCCCCAGGCCCACATCTGCTCGTAACAATAACTACTTCTCAGTCCAGTKCTTTTCAGATTAAATCATATATTTTCATTGAGGAAATATATTTTTGGATGCCAAGGAAACTACTAGTGGTGGGCACAGTTCCCCTAAAGCACAGGTAAAGGTGCTTTATTTGTCATCAGTGTATGTTTCCACACAATGACGAAATTGTGCTCTGCATTTAACCCATCCACATCCAAGTGGAGCAGCGGGCAGCCATGTGAGGCGCCCGGGGAGCAGTTAGGGTTAGGTGTCTTGCTCAAGGACACCACGACATGTGGGTATGGCAGGGAGTCGAACCTAAGACTTTCGGGTCCCAAGCTGGCTGCTCTACCACTACACCACAGCCGCCCCAAAAGTACTAAGAAGGGAACTAATTTCCTGATTAGTGCTTTTGCTAATTTTAAATTTATTAGTGGATTAGCACTCGCTAAAATTATAGGCTAAATTTTGAAGCACTAACTGAGGTTTATAAACGTTATTGATCAACGTTAATGTTAACAGCTGAGGGTGAAAGCCGTTGCACATTTTGTTCATATGTGTGTCACTTATCCACCAGGTGACAATATTCCACGGTGTAGTGTCGGAACAGTCGGTGTAGGTACGGGTCGGTACGGTTGGTTTTCCACTGAGGTTCCAGTCCGGTTCCAATGGGTGTGTTTTGGGCAGTTGGTGGAGGTGGTTTTTAGGTATTTTGAAAAAAAGTTAATGGGCAAAATGAGAGATGGAAACACATTTGATGAATAATTTTTGAAATTTTAAACATTTGCAAAAATTTAGCCAATCAGTGAYGAACAGTGTTCTGACGTCACATTTTGGTGTCAACTGGGGCCGGTTGGAACCATAACGAAGTAGGTACTAAAAAAGTGCCAATTCCATGAATCTGGCCTAATGGAAATGGCTTCGAACCGTACCGACACTACACTAAGTGGCACTAGTGGAAAAGGGGCATTATACATGAACAGCTGTGGAATGTCAAAGATGAGTATTAAGAGAGCAACATGACAGTATGTGACTCATGTTTGTTGAAGAATTGTTCATGGGTGGATTGGGCTATTTTAGTGCTTTAGAATTAGGGGACCTAAATATTTGAGTTAGTGCTTTGGGGCTAATGCAACTAATTTTTAGATTAGTGCTGCCCATCACTAGAAACTACCCTCTTTTTCCTAAGAATGAGACTGTCTGCCAAAAATACTTGGGCTTTTCTCCTACGAAAAAGTTGCAAACGGCATGAAGCGTTGTTGTGAAGACGTGCTGAAGTGGAAGTGTCAAAAATGGTAGGAGGGTTCTTAAAGAGACAGAGGCCAATTTCAAACATTTAGATAATATATACATCTTTTTCACAACAACTGAAGGTAGTTAATTGACTGCTGTATAGAATTGAACTATGTGCCTGGAAGATACATACAATACCSACCCAATTTTAAAATTGGGTCATTTTTTTTCTGTAATATTTTCTGTTTTATATTTTTTAGGAAGAATGTCCTAAATGAATTTATTAAACAAAACAGAAAAATAAAGACTAAAATACAAGTGAATCAGATCTATTCTAAGCCTTCTAACACACAAAGTTGTATTCAGGTCACTGGGATGTGTGCAGACACACATGACTGATTGCATACTCTGTACACAGATACACATGGTGTGCACACGGTTTCATAGTTTGAGTCCAAAATGATTCATGTTTTAACCTACTTTTACCATCTCTCTAAGGACCTGAGAGCCTGTGTTTCTCCTAACTTCATGGTGCAATACGCTGTAGTCTCCTCCACAAGCTAAACACACGTTCATCTGAACCGAAAGCCCGAGAAATATGGCAGTAAAATTACTTACTGCTCCCAAAATCCCCTAACATAAATGAGAGTGTTGTAGCACTTGGAATGAGGCGCATAAATTCAGAGGCGGTACGATAAATCAAAGCGGACGTAGGATTTTCATTTAATTATGAAATATTAGACTGTCGKTGGCGTCGGCCTCTGATCTGCTGTAATACGTCACCCTATTGGAAATGTTAGTCTGTGCCTGTCATCTTGAGGCTTAGGCACTGAAAGCTGGACTGAGACGTTAGCTCTGTGTGTTTGACTCACTGGTGCACATGTCCTCCGGTTTGTCCATGTCCCCGCGGTAGTATCCGTTCCGGCAACCACAGAGGGTGGCGGCCTCGATGGTGGAGCGGCTGTTGAGCGGACACTGCTGACATAATCCTGGCCCTTGGGAYGACTTAAAGGTGCCCTGAGGACAAGCTGCGAGGGAAGAGACGGGAAAGAGAATTTATTTTTATCTGCTGAACAGCAGTGAAATGCAACAAATGATAACGAACGTGTTTAGCYGTTCTTGTTGTTTGTCTTGATTCCAGGACATATGATAAACTTGAGTTGTTGTAAAAAGATACACACCAACGTGTTTGYACGATAGAAACTCATGTGGGTAAGGACATTTACGCTGGAGACAGTATGTTTTATTATTTAGGGCAGATAATCTCATTGAGACACGTCTCGTTTACAAGAGACGTGACCCAACATTACTTAGACAAATATCATAAAACATGATGTTAACTTTTAAAAGGAAAGCAGATTTAAAAACAATAAGAGCAAAAATAGGTTTGAAATGATGATTTTATTTCTCGTTTTCTTAAAAACTGTGGTTAAAATGTCCCAGTGGGATCAAACTGGACAGTTTTGGTTCTTGGTGCAGTGAGTTCCAGGAAGATGGAGCAGAAAAGAAAAAAAAGCTCAGAGCAAACTGGTGGAACAGTGAAAGAGATAAAATCTTGAGAGTGTAGGCTGTACTGTCTTTATGACGTCTTGAAATGTAGATAGGGAGGCACCAGGCAGAGGATGGATTTGTAAATAAAAGTTACCAATGTAGAAGTCTGTGGATAGATAATGATGGCCAGTTTACCAGAGAATACAGGRTACRGTGGTGTGTGAGTGGTTTACATTTTGTTATGAACCGTGATGCTCCATGATAAGCAATGCAGAGTACTGGCCGGRACATTCATGTAAACAACATCACCATACTGTAGTTCAAAAGTGGTAGAAAGGTTGATGACTAGGGATGCACCAAGAAATTAGCCGTTCGATTTATCAGCATCGATTTCCCTAATTTGGGAGATCGGCCGATAGTTTTCCTTTTAAAATATTGTTTCTTATAATCTATTGCTTGACTATTGTTATGTCTTGATTAAAATAGGTTTAGATACATGATTGAAAACACCATCACAACACATAAAAACCATTAATCAAACATGACGACAGGATGTCTGTATGACTGTCTGCGATTCAGCCGTAGGCCTGTAGTGGGCGTACCAGGCACTGAAGAGCCATATATTTATGGACCGGGACTTCCGGTTTTCATTCAGCGTTGGTGTCATGTCTGAACAGAGAGCATTAAACTACCGTTCACTCCAGTAACTGGTGTTGTATGGTCCATCTCTTCACATTTTAATCTATTCAACATTCATTTGGTTTCGTCACGATTTCAGTTAACGAACAGTAAATTTTCTTAAACTTGAATAAGATTGGTGGAAAAGSTCGACATCTACCTCCACAAAGGTCTGAACATCAGCCACTGTCCCCTCTTGCTCTGCTGTCAGCTCTACCTAATGTCCACTTAAACCAATTTGTTTTGTTTCAACGGTTTTGTTCAATGTTTTTCAGTAAAATAAGATTGATACATTGAAGCTGTATTGTGACCCTATAACGCCTGACAGTGTCAGGTGTTTAAAAAATTGGTATCAGCAGGTCAAACTTTTTAAAGCTCAGCGATCGGCCAGAAAACTGCAATCGGTGCACCCCTACTGCAAAACACAAGGAGTTTACGAGCAACCAGAGAGAAACAGGCGATATTTCTAAGAAATGAAAATAAAAAACTGTAGTTTTAGCTTCAGTCTTCTTTAAAATGTGATAAATGTAACATTTGAAGGAGAGCTTTCAATGAATGACAACACCAAGATATTTATAAATCTCTACAAAATCTACAGCTGAGCCATTAAGAGACCTTTTATCTTAGAATGAAGGACCGCGACCCTGACATGACCTCTTGACCACCACAGGTCATGTCTTCTAAGTGATTGAACTTTGTTCTAAAAGCTTTCTTAGAGACATGTTAAGTCCTAGCTTTCATTAATCTGTCCTTGTTCTGCAGAAAATGCTGACATGACCATCTGCTTTAATTTTGATCCTCTTCTAATCTGCAGTAATAAAATTACTAATATTTAATCTGGTCAAAATCCTAACTCTTCTCTCCAAATTGACAAAACTGTATATGTTAATAACCTGGGTCACTTGTCAACGAAGTAATATAAGAAAACATTCCTATTGGGGGAAATTATATTTTCATTCTATAAAAATATTTAAACGTCAACCTTATTTTAACTTAGACCTATAACATCAAGTCTACAATAATTCTCACATTTAACTGTTTCAGATATCTTGTTGTCGGGGCAGTCCCCCTGGAATGGCAGACTGGGGTGGTGGTCCCCCTGTTTAAAAAGGGGGACCGGAGGGTGTGCTCCAATTACAGGAGGATCACACTTTTAAGCCTCCCTGGTAAGGTCTATTCRGGGGTCCTGGAGAGGAGGGTCCGTCGGATAGTCGAACCTCGGATTCAGGAAGAGCAGTGTGGTTTTCGTCCTGGTCGTGGAACACTGGACCAGCTCTACACCCTCAGCAGGGTCYTGGARGGTGCATGGGAGTTCGCCCAACCKGTCTACATGTGTTTTGTGGACCTGGAGAAGGCGTTCGACCGTGTCCCAAGGGGGGGCCTTGTGGGGAGTTCTCCGGGAGTATGGGGTACCGGGCCATTTGAYACGGGCTGTCAGGTCCTWGTACAACCGGTGTCAGAGTCTGGTCCGCATTGCCGGCAGTAAGTCGGGCTCGTTTCCGGTGAGAGTTGGACTCTGCCAAGGCTGCCCTTTGTCACCGATTCTGTTCATTACTTTCATGGACAGAATTTCTAGGCGCAGCCGAGGTGTGGAGGGGATCCGTTTTGGTGGCCTTAGGATCGCATCTCTGCTTTTTGCGGATGATGTGGTCCTGTTGGCTTCATCGGAACGAGATCTGCAGCTCTCGCTGGAGCGGTTCGCGGCCGAGTGCGAAGCGGCCGGGATGAGGCTCAGTGCCTCCAAATCCGAGGCCATGGTCTTGAGCCGGAAAAGGGTAGAGTACCTTCTCCGGGTCAGGGGGGTCGTCCTGCTTCAAGTGGAGGAGTTTAAGTAWCTGGGGATCTTGTTCACGAATGGGGGAAGAACGGAGCGGGAGATYGACAGGCGGATTGGCGCAGCGTCTGCTGTAAAGCGGGCGCTGTACCGGTCCATCGTGGTGAAGAGAGAGCTGTGTCAGAAAGCGAAGCTCTCGATTTACCGGTCGATCTACGTTCCTACCCTCATCTATGGTCATGAGCTTTGGGTCATGACCGAAAGAACGAGGTCCCGGATACAAGCGGCCGAAATGGGTTTCCTCCGCAGGGTGGCTGGGCTCTCCCTTAGAGATAGGGTGAGACGCTTGGTCATCAGGGAGGGACTCAGAGTAGAGCCGCTGCTCCTCCACGTCGAGAGGAGCCAGTTGAGGTGGCTCGGGCATCTGGTAAGGATGCCTCCTGGATGCCTCCCTGGCGAGGTATTCCGGGCACGTCCCACCGGGAGGAGGCCCCGAGGAAGACCCAGGACACGCTGGAGGGACTATGTCTCTCGGCTGGCCTGGGAACGCCTTGGAGTTCCCCCGGAGGAGCTGGAAGAAGTGGCTGGGGAGAGGGAGGTCTGGGCCTCCCTTCTGAATCTGCTGCCCCCGCGACCCGACCCCGGATAGGCGGAAGAAAATGGATGGATGGATGGATGGATGGATATCTTATTGTTTATTTTTCATGTTTAGTTTTACTGTTTTTACTCATGATTCAATGAAATTCTTTCTTGATCTTTCTATATTTTTTGTAATGAATAACTATAAAAGACAAAGCTGGTTCTCATCTCATTCATGCACAAGATAAGAGTTCCCTGCTTATTTTACAATCCTACACATTGGTAAACATGACTAAAAAGGGTGAATAAATATCAGTTAGATCCGGTGTGGTGCCCCAACAAGTTGAAAGGTGGGGTGCAGGTCAGAAACAGTTATCTCCTCTACCGCTGCAATCTCTAATTTTTATATATCTTAGTTCATTCATAAATCTAACCTCAGTACATGAACTGTACTCCCTTTTTTTATAGAGGCAGATTTCTTACTGACAAGTTTTTTGTCCATATAGCCCCAGTTCTGGAAAAGTTAGAACATTATGTAAAATGTAAATAGAAAGAAAATTCCACAATTTGCCTCAAACTCATACTCTATTTACAATGAAACATAGTACACATGCACGTCATGGTAGGATCTGCACTTAATCTTTATTATCATCCCAAGCTTCCAACATGAAGTCCAACTCTGATCAGGTCCAGCATTTAATCTAAAAAGTATCAAAGAATGGATTTTGGTTAAACTATTCAGAAAGTTCACAACCATGCCCAAAACTACTATAAACGTGAGGAAAAAACTGCTTATTATGCATGCAGAATCCCACTTTTWTCCAGCTGGAATGGCAAACATGCCGTTACATTTTTAATTTTTGGCCTGCATATTTGATTACAACCTCTGCCTGAACACGATGTTGTGAAACTTGATGATCCATCATTTTACTGGCTTTCTGAAATCCTCATATTTACTGTACGTGTTAAAAACGGGGCTGTGAAAAACTGCAGTGTCTGTTTTAATTAGAAATTAATTGTAAGTTTGAGCTTAATTCTGTTAGATTGAAATGAGTTGTGTGTAGCATCTAATGAAACGWGCACTTGGGATAAAACTGTTAAATTTGATCAAAGCCCTCCAAAAATATTAAGTTTGATCTGTAAATATTCACCATGAGCAGGTGAAACATCTGCAGTGCTGCATGGTATTCTGTTAAAAGAGATGCTTGTTTTTAACTCACGCTTTTTTTTTATTGGCAGCAAAGTTCAAAGAGAAGTTCAAAGGGGCACATGGGTGTGGAATAAAAACAGAGCTAAACAGAAACTGCCAAATGATGACATTTTTCATTTTGAACTATCCTAATCATTCATTTTCCTTCCTTCCCTGTAATAAATGTTCATCTCCAAGATCATGTAGATGTTGTAAGATCAAATTTTGAACATTACTCAGATTTATTGTGGCAAAAAGAAGAGCTTTAATGAGGTCAAAATGGTGGCTGACAGATAAAAGGTTCTCTGAGTCTTATA